AAATAAAGAGAAAAGCACGCACTGTTACAAGAATATATTTACAACTGATACTTTTAAATATAGAGAAAAAAAGGAAAAAACATATAAAGTTCTAATTAAAAAAATATAACAATTATGAATAAAAACGTGTAAAAAGTTCCGTATCTGTGTGCAACACATATGATAGTCCTTTTTCTCTGCCTAACCCTCTAGGCCACTGCATTAATACTTACTGTTTTATATCTTTGAATCTACGTAATTGCGTTTGAAACAGTATTTCCTATGCTTCATTCAGTTAAGAATACGCTGTAAGTTTAACAAATAGGCTGGTAGTTCGCAGCGGTTCACAATGAAGACTGACGTATGTGTGCTGTGAACTCTGGGAACGTAAATACTTGTGTCTATATTTCCCGTCGCATTTAATTAATTGTGCATACTAACGGGGCACAGCGTAATGTTCTTTAGTGTATACATACTAGCTTTTGCCCGCAACTGCGTCTGAATCTTTTTATTGAGATTTTTCTAGTATGTACTACATTAAGAGTCACATATGGTATTACAGTCTTTAGGTAAAAATAATAACTATAATATTTTAAAATCTTTATATTTAATGCAGGTATATGGCCAATAGATGGCGCTATTTCATCTATTAGATCAGTGGTTCCCAAACTTTTGACCTATTGGGATTGAAAACAACAATGGAAAGAATACAGATTAATCTTGAAAGAAAACGGGAAAAACATAAAAGGAAATAGCGCCCTGAGTAAAACGTACTTTCTCGTCCTAAAAATAGCAACTAAAGCTCTTTAAATCACGGGATCTTTGTATGGTAGAGTTTTGAACGACCATACAATACGACGGCTCCTACAATTAATTACATGGAATTAAATAAAAAACTTAATAAGTAGCATATGTGTTCTTCCAGACTATGTTCTACATCTATGTCAAATTTCAGCAAGATCCTTACAGCCGTTCTGGAGATACCTTTTAACAAACATCCATCCATCCATCTAAATTCGCATTTATAATATTAGTAAGATAATAAGATAAGATATTAGTAAGATTCAAAAGTTGTAAGATTTCTTTGGCTTAAGATTTTCTATTAAAAAATAATCTTATAGAAGATTACTTTTGCGACAAACTTTATTATCTAAGGTAAGTCCATTTATCTCAAAAAAGCTTTAGAAAAAACCAATTGAATAGACAGATAGATTACTTTCCTGTTCATGATTTGCCCAATTTAAAGAACTCACGTTTCTGAGTCTAAAACCTCCTTTTTATTGTCAAAAACAATATCGACGATGATTTTTCGCACAGATATTTTGGTCTTAGAAACCCAGGGTTAATAATATTTTGATTTAACTTACCATAGGATACACATAAGTTTTATTGTGCGCAAAATAAACTTAATTGGAACAGAATTTAGTATGAAATTGAAAAAATATTACCTTAAAAGCTTGGCTAGTATATAATGTTTTCGCAATAAGCAATTTATTGTAATCAAGGTCAAAGTATAAAATCGTCAATAGCCTAATGGTTAAGGGTACGGATTTCCGAACACGAGGTCGGGGGTTCGAATTCGACTATTGTCGTAAACCATATCCTAGCACAAGCCTAGAGCTTAGTTGGAATGGTAAAAGAAATATTAGTAAATTTACAAAAAAAAATAGGTAGGGAGGTAGCTTAGAGCCAGAAGATGGACATAGGATACTATTTAATCTTTTCTTAATTTTTTTTTCGAATTTATGCCTTGAAGAGCTGCTTTTTATTTAACTTACTAATATTATGAATGCGAATGTTTAGATGGATGTGATGTGGATGGATGGATGGGTGGGGTACGCTAATTAAGTGTTTTTATATATCCACGCGGACGGAGTAGTGGGCGACAGCTAGTTTTTTATTAAAAAAGTAATGGGTTTGTTTTACCAAATAAATATATTACAGGTTAAAAAACATGGGCCTTTAAATTATTCTTAAAATGTACAAGACCTCAATCCCCCGTAGGCTTATAAATTGTGCCGTTAAATAGCCTTCGCAATATTTTTTTCGCGAAGTGAATTTTGCAAAATAAACTGCTTACAACGTAATAGGAAAAATTTGGGACGTAGCAGGCTATTTTGTTTTTTTTTATACATATAAAGATTATCTTGTTTTGAATTAGTATATATTTTGTCTGAAATTTTATATATTTTACTATTTCTAATGTCTTTAGCTAGTGATATTATCACTCAAGTCCTTTCAAATGGGCACTAAGCCAAGATATAATACTTTGTTTTTTTCGATGTCACGTCTGTAAGGATGACAGGAGGATCTTTTTTTACTATTATGGCCAAAGATGTATAATATTTTTGTGTCTATGTATTTTCGACACAAATATAATTTACGTGTTTATTTTAAAGATCTTTTGTTGGGACCAAAGGTCAAAGAATTTTATTAGATTATGTAAAAATTCAAAAATATTTAGCTATATTTTTTTGTACAAATCCATCATCATCAGCTCACTATACGCATCACCATGTTTTCCTTTACCGTAAGAACTTCGGATAAATGTACATATGTAAATCGGAAAATCGAAAAACACATTGGTACATGGCGGGATTCGAACCCTGCAGATTGCAAGTCAAGTGCTTGACACCTGAGCCATCGACACTTAGTACAAATCCAATGGTCTTTTATAAATGGAGAGGCGATAGCATGAAAATAGCAGCTTTTGCCTCGTTCTAATTAGACCGCGCCTGTCGATGTGACGTGACAGTTAATTGTACATATCATTAATTCGATTCAACACCACCGCAACCACCAGCGCCAAAATTGTAAAAATCAAATAGGCACAAAATACTACGTCTTTTAGCCATTCCATTTATAAAGGTCAGTGTACGAAAAAGATTAAAATCTTTTTTTTATCAATTTTTTATGTTTTAAATTATGACCGGCCAGGTTTTATTTCTTTCAAACATATTCTTTGTTCCAAACATGTTTTTACTTTTCCTTTACAAACATAGTTAACTCAAAGCGCTTTTAAGTTGGGCGCATGTTTGTAAAAGTAAAAAGACACAACTTAACGACGTGTGAGTCCGTGCTTTTGACTAAAGTAAGGGGTAAAGGAAAGATTTTTATAAAGATATCTTTTAATTTTAACGTTTGCATTGCCATCTCTCTTATTCTCTATGAAACAAACAGAGACGAAAATTTTTAATAAATACGTCTCTGCAGCAGAATTTCGATAGTATCTTCAGCGTTAATACTATGATCCGTTATATAGATTTTTTTACAGGTTTAGTAGGAAAAAAGTTTTTTTTTTTTTTAATAGAAGATAATAAATTTTTAACCCTTTAATAAAGCATTAAAATGCTGTATATATATAAGTTTCATGTGAAGGATACGAATCGAAAGAAACCTTAGCTTCAAAAGAAAGTCTATACTGTAGGAACTCACAACTCGAGAAACCTTACTGTAAATTGAGCAAGACATTTTTAATGCTAAACATAATATTTACAATCCTATCATTTGCTAAATAAAATGTACGTGAGTGATATATACTTGTTTATTTAATAAGATAAGCGGATAAAGATATTTGGATGTGGAAATTACGTTAATACGCCTTTGTATACGGTAAGTGAATGACTCTAACTGAATGGAACGTTGAGTATGTCAACATAAGAGTGAGTGAATCTTTTGAATAACAAATCTTAATAATATTTTGTTGGAGATGGTTGGGTGAATGGATATGTAAGAAGGTATCTCCAGAACGGCTGCATGAATTTCGCTCAAATTTGACATAGATGTAAAACATAGTCTGGAAGAACACATAGGGTAATCTTGTTTTTTTAATTCCGCGCAGTCGAAGTTGTGAGCGATAGCTATGATCAATAGCTTTAAAATTGTTTAAACTTTCTTTAGGCATTATTATAAATTAATATACAGCCAATACTCACATTTAATTTTCCGGTGACGACACCAACTAGTTTCGGATACGTAGTGGATCCATCATCAGGGCATCATCATCATTAATCCATCATAAAAACCGAGTAAGATGGATCCACGACTGGTCCGAAACTAGGCAGAAAAATATACGTGTGTGTTAACCGTACATTAGTAAGTTCATCATAAAACCATTGATGTTCCAAACAATATTATTCTTTACTTAATATCTTTTGTTATAGGAAGCTGTTTTTTTTTTCAAATTAAATTTACAGTACGATAATTTTTATACAAAGGTTATATTAATTGCCATAGCAGCACGCTTGGAAATAACAATATCAATAAATTCTCCTCAACAGATGTGATCCTCATTAAAACAAGATATTGGTGCGAAAGTAACTGTGTAGTTCCGTCAATATAATAGTAGATTTCCACTGCTTTGACTTATTGGTGTATAGTAACGTCTCCGTTTTGTACAAGAAAATAATAGTGATGACAATACGTACACTAATGTCACGGCAATGGAATTCTAAAGTAACTTTTATTACTTGAAAATTAAGTGAATTCACACTAACTTTAGGATGCACTCAGACAGACTGAAGCTGAGAGCAGAAAAGATTATACTATTCTAAATAAAAATTGAGCTTTACTAGGTAGAAATAAAGTTTAATTTTACTTTAAACGTCTCTTAATAGAATAAAAACACATGAAAAGTAAAATTAAATAATGGTTCAATCGTATAAAGGTCAATTTTATTCGACTTAAAAAATCTGCTTTGCCCTCTTCCAATTTGTGTGAACCGACCCTTAGAAACTATGCATATATCATGTAGAAATTGCTATCATTACAATTTTCGCAGTACAATTAAATTTCTAAGGAAAATTATTTATAACCGTATCCCAATCTATGTGGCATTAATAACATGTTTTCCTTCTCCAGATTAACGTTTCTTTTCAGTCGTCAGTCACACCCCTAATCGTATTCTTCACAAAACAATCTTACAAGTTATCAAATATTTTTCTAATTCATTTTGTTTTCTTTTCAGATCAACGAACAAACAACAGGATGGGAAACAACATCAGAGTATATCACACGATAAGCAAATTCTCTTTGACAAAAGAAATAAATATGACTTAAATTATCTAAATGCAACAAAATGTGAAACATGAAAGTTAACATTGTCTTGACTGACAACCCTGAGAACATAAGTTTAGATTTCATTTCTACATCCATGTATTTAACGGATAGTTATGTTAACAAGTCTCTCGAAATAAACGAGACGACGAACGATTTAGTTTACAGCAATCAGTTCGAGAATGATCCTGTTATTGTGTTATTTATCATATTAAAATGTATTATAATGTTGTTTATAATTTTAGCTGCTATATTTGGCAACTTATTGGTCATAGTTTCCGTTATGAGGCACAGAAAATTGAGGGTCATCACCAATTACTTCGTCGTGTCCCTCGCGTTAGCGGACATGTTGGTTGCTATTTGGGCCATGTGTTTTAACTTTAGTGTTGAAATCACCAATGGTGAATGGCTGTTTGGCTACTTTATGTGTGACGTTTGGAATTCTTTGGATGTATATTTTTCGTCTGCATCTATCTTGCATCTCTGTTGTATAAGTGTTGATAGATATTATGCTATAGTTCAACCATTGGACTATCCTTTGATTATGACCAGTGGGAAGTTAGGAATCATGTTGGCTGTTGTCTGGTGTAGTCCAGCTTTGGTTTCCTTCTTGCCAATATTTGCTGGATGGTATACGACACATGAGCATTTGGATTTTAGACGACGTCATCCGAAAGTTTGCAGTTTTACTGTTAACAAAGTGTATGCGGTGATATCAAGCAGTGTCAGTTTCTGGATTCCTGGTGTCATTATGATATTCATGTATTATAGAATATACGTGGAAGCGGATAGACAAGAGAGGATGTTGTACAGGTATGTGAAATTATGTTACCAATTATGCTGTTAGGTTTTTCGTACACAAGGTAACGTAAATCTGTTTGTCAAAATCGTCATGAAAAGTTGACGTTATTTCTAACCCTGTAGAACAAATTGACGATTCGTATCAACCAGTATCGAACATTCAAAGATAGGTATATAAGGATCGCGTAAAACAATTCTCGCAACGCAACCATAAAATATTAATTTCTAATATTTACGTTGCCTTGTGTACAAGAGCCTTAATGTCTAATGTAAGATGTCAAGGCTATTTAAAGACAATGAGAACCAGTAAGAACTAATTCCATATTAGATAGTATTAGTTTCTGCCTCTATATTTCTTTCAATTCGATCTAGATCTTGTTTCTTTAGACCAGTGATTCCTAAAGTGGTCTATATCGACCCATAGGGGTCTATGACAAACTGCAAGGGGTCTACGTCGGCGAAAAAAAAATTTGGGGGTCCATGAAATGAAAATGGGGGTCCACGATAGTGGATCTCAACACATACACCGATAGTACCTATTTACTTACATCATACTATCTTATAGTATCAAAACATTATTTATAAAAGTACCTATGATGTAAAAATTATTATATATGTTTAGAAATTTACAGGACATCAATAACAGGTAAGTAGGGGGTCTACCCAATATATGACAAGGGGTCTACGACACAAAAAAGTTTGGGGTACTCTGCTATAGACGATGTACTGTACATAAGTGTTGTAACTACACGAATAATGAATGGTTTATTTCACATTGTTCTAGTGTTATAAAATTATATTGTGCTTAATCATTGTGTTAACAAAATAATCAAATATTTACATTTAAACCTCGTCTCAGTGATTTCCGTATTAGATAAATGCTTCAGAGATTCCATATTTTATTGTCATTTTGTTAGATAATATGTTAACGATATAATTATTTATTTACATGTGATAAATAGATATGTAGAAAATATAAGAAGTTAATTATATAGACTTCAATATAAATAGCAGAGGCACCAGGCATGAGTTTTAAAGTATTTTTTTTCATTATCATCATGAGCTCACTATACGTCCCCACCGAGGGGCTGGGAGCCTACCCTAAGTTAGGGGTGACTAGGCCATAATCAACCACGCTGGCCAAGTGCGGGTTGGTTGACTTCACACATATCTTTGAATTTCTTCTCAGACATGTGCAAGTTGCATCACGATGTTTTCCATCACCGTAAGAACGTCGGATAAATGTACATATGTAAATCGAAAAACACATTGGTACATGGCGGGATTCGAACCCAGGACCTGCAGATTACAAGTCAAGTGTTGAAAGCCCTGAGCCATCGACGATCTCATTTTTTTTTTATTTACTTTAAAACTCTAGCCTATATAAAATGCACAAAGTATTTTTATAACTAATATATCTTACTAATATTATAAATTCGATTGTTTAGATGGATAGATGTGATTCGGTATAGATGTAGAACATAGTGTGGAAGACATAGACTACTAATTAAGTTGTTTTTTTAATTATCGCGTACGAATTCGCGGGCGATGGATTAGTATAATCGTAAATAAATCCAGCAGCGATTGCAAAGAATTATTTTTATTTTAAAATTGATATACAAAATTACGTAGACATAGTATTTATGACAATGAAAACGTACGAAATATACAAAATCGTAGAAATCTGTCTGACATATAGAACAATGTAATTGTCATGTACAACACAATGCTTATCATACAGACAGCCATTTCGTAAATATTAAAACGTGCAACATTTCACGATATATTACGTCACAATGCGAGTGTTGAAAACTCAATTTTGTGTTAAAGTTTTTAAATACTTTATTTTATAAGATTGTAAAGATGCAAACGTGTAATAAATAAAAACAAGAAATTATAATATGTTTCCAATACCTTAATATAATTTTTTCATCATCATCATCTGCTGACTATACGTACCTACCACCTGCACCCTGCACCCTGCACCTGCAAGTGTTTGACTCCTGAGCCATCGACGAACATTAAATATAATTTTTTAGTTAAAAAATATTAATTTTCATATTACGAACTTTTTATATCCTATCGCCCGAAACTCCGTCCGCGCGAAATTAAAAAAAATATATCGAAGTAGATTATGTGTTCTTCCACTATTTTCTACTTCTATGCCAAATTTCATCGAGATCCTTAGAGCCGTTTTGTATCTATTTAAATATTCGCATTTATAATATTAGTAAGTATGCATTACTGTTATTTTTATCAAGAAAGATTACGATATGAGAGCCTAAATTCTATAAAGTGTGTAGTGACGTCATTGGAGTTTGTCATAGATTAAAATTAAAAAAAAATAGTCAAAAGTATTCAAAAGTTAAACACGATTTTAAAATTCAAAAATCCTCATCGCGTCCATTTCTAATTTGGCAGGGTTACTATTGTAAAGCAACTTTAGTCAAAGATTTCATTGTTTGAAGCATTTTTCCTATTTTTAAGACTGTTGACAACAGAACAAAAATGTCTCATTTTTCATTTGCAGCTAACGATTGTCCTAGGTGTTATTGTTTTCTAAAGACTATATTTATATTGCATAAAAGATTAACTGTTGGTTTCTGAGATTCAAATCTTTGTATAAAACGTGTCGTCCTTTTATCTTTGAAATTGAGATAAAATATTTTAAACGGAGATTTTAGTCTCAGCAACCCACGGTAAGTTAGTTTTCACGATTTTAATGTATATTGGATGATTTAAATGCTTTACTTTTCATTAAAGAATGTGCAAGAAAATAAGTCAAATATTAATAGAAAATCAAAGAATTTTTTTGCTTAAATCGTTTTTGTTACTTGGAAAAAATAACTTTTTATTTCTAACTTTTCTTATTTGAGAGCTATGACGTCACAATATGGTATAAGAGCATAGTTTGTTTGAAACTTATTACAGTCGAACCTGATAAGCGGGAAACTAGGGTTAGGGAGACTTCTATAGGCGAGAAAAATATTGCGATCCCTTGGACTCTCGCTTATTTAGGCTTTGTGCAGATAGTTTGACAATTTTACTATTCACATGGTTTTAGCTATGTGCCAGCCCTAATTATAATGACATAATTTGTTTTAGGAGTAAGGTAGCAGCCCTACTTCTGGACAAGCATCTCCAGATCAACGGTATCTCGATGGGGGACGTGATGAGAGAGAGACAAAGCATCCAGATGCAGCCTATGGCCAGTAGCAAGATGAAACGAGAGAGGAAAGCTGCCAGGACGCTCGGTATCATCATGTCAGCGTTCCTGGCATGCTGGCTGCCGTTCTTTTTATGGTTCGATATTTGAATTACATATTTTTTTTAATCAATTTGGTTGCGCAATTTTATAAGGATATTTGAACTGGTAATATAGGCATTACGATAGCGGTTTGTGTCAGAATATATATAAAACCTACTTGGATACAGAAAATTACATAAAAGAAAAAATTACTTGACATCCACAGTACAAAAAGGATCTTGTGACGTTTGACATTGACAGGGCGGTAGTGAGCTGTCATAATTTAGTTTGACTTAAACCACCGGTTCAGATATCCTTCTATGAAGTGTTTAATACATATTTGTTGTCTCTGTTTTGTGAAAGAATATGTAAAGGATAGCAATATGCATTCATTCAAGTGGTGTTCGTCGGAACAAAACTAATAAATTACATATTTGTTTTTTTTTTGTGGCTTAAGAAAAAAAAGTCCAAATGTTTTTTATCGGTTTTTGTTCCGAAGATCCTCGAGTGTTTTTGTAGTCGAGATCTTGGATAGTTTTACTATAAAATTAAAGCAAGCTACAAACGAATGCGACTAAAAATCGATCAAATTCTACTGCATAATAATTTACCGCAAACGATAAAAGTCATAGCCTACACAAAATCGTGTGTATCACGAAACAATTATAGTTAATGCGAGTTGAAAATCGCTTTTTAATAACGAATAACACGTATTTAACCAACATGTGATAATTATGAATACATTAAAAATTATAAGAGTGATATGGAAAATTACAGATTTAATTTTAAGCGCCAATAACCTAATGGTTAGAGGTGCGGATTTCCGATCACGTGGTCGAGAGTTCAAATCCGACCATTCGACAATTATCGTAAACCATAACCTAGCACAAGCCTAGAGCTTAGTTGGAATGGTAAAAGAAATATTAGTAAATTTACAAAAGTCTGCTAATATTTAAGATAAACAAAAAAAATCACCCATTTCTTTTCATACAAATATTACTAATATTATAAATGCGAATGTTTGTATAGATGTTTGTTTGAAGTTTACATTTGGAATACATATAGAACATAGTTTGGAAGAACATATAGGCTACTAATTATTATTTTTTAATTCCGCGCGGACGGTCTCGCCGGCGATAACTAGTATTATATCTTTTCATGCGGAAATCGAGACAACGCAATAAACAAAAAAAAAACACCAACAAGCACTAACTGACTTCTATTTCTGAACTGTATGAATGAACTGGCTATAAGAGTAGTATTTTGTGCTTATTTGATTCTCACCATTTTGGCGCCGGTGGTAGCGGTTTGTAGCGGTTCTGTGGATTTAAACTAATAATATAGATAGAACTGTCACGTTACATTATAAGCGTCTTTAAATCGGAACAAATGAAAATCTGTAATTTCCAAGCAATCGCCTATACATTTATAGGAATAAGTGAAGGAACTTGAGAACTTTTAAAAATTCAATGGAACGAAATGGATTTTTTTAATACGTCCCTCCCCCAGGTACATAATAACAGCGCTGTGTGGAGACGCTTGCCCCTCCCCGCCGCCGGTGGTAGCAGCTGTGTTTTGGGTGGGATACTTCAACTCGGCGCTTAATCCACTCATTTACGCGTACTTCAATCGGGACTTTAGAGCGGCTTTTAGAAAGACTTTGGGATCGTGTTGCAGGTAAATACGCTTTAAAAGGTTTCCTAAAGTTTTCAGATTTGTATAATTTTTTTTTTGAAAGCTTTTCTAACAGCAAAGTTTTATGTTTGTTATTTTGCTATTTTTATTTAATGTAAAAATTCGTCTCAGTTCTTGAATACTATGATGACATACGCATAAAATTTGAGTTTTTTTTTCAAAGATATATTATACTATTATATATTCTTTTATTCGTTTTGTTTCGAAAACAAAATATGATTTGAAAATGACATAGAAATACAACAATCAAGACGCAATTGCAATTGTGGGTGTAAATCCTACTGCAGCGAGTCGCGACATAATGAGGAAAACGTTTATTTTAACTGGAGAACAATGTAACGTGGGTTTACACTGCCGATAATACATACGTTTTCAAGATAAACATATTTTTGTGTAATAATAATTGAACAATTGAATAAAATTATGTAGAAAGAAGGTAAAATAGAAACACATTTTGATAGTAAAAGAATAACCAAATTTGATCTTTATAGTATAATTACAAAAAATAAAAATTATTAGCTGAAAGTGGAACTTAAAGAATGATGGTGGGGCGATGCTATATTAGCGACCGCACGCTCATTTCGAGACACACTCGCCACCAGACACTGAATCCAGCGGAAGCTCTGCCCGTTTGACTGCCAAAATAATATGTAATTTTAACTGTGATAGTTGATCAAGTTAACGTTGTATTTCAAAATAATTTAAGTGTTATTTTAATGAATTCTATTAGTTTTGTTATAAGAACAGAAAAGTACTGTAGTAGTCTATAAAAGATTTTTTATTAAATTTTTCCTACGTCTCAGCCCTAAGAATAGCTTATTTTTACTTCAACTTTACCATGTTCCATTGCCGAACATATTTTCATTATAACCATTATCTTAATACCAATATTACAACTGTATATCAATATTGTAGTCAATTAAAACTTTATGTTCTATACACCATTAAAAATAAAAAATAAAAATTTACATAAATTCTTTTTACTAGATCCCTGTTTGGTGACTTAGGACGTCGGTATTGTTGCCCTCAACAACTACTACGAAGAGAACATCATCATTCCAACGCATCTTCTGACATCCACATGAACAACTGTGTAAAATCAACATCCGCAGATGTACTAAGAACGCATCAACCGTGCAGTTCTAAAATTGAAAACGTTGAAATCGCTGCATAAAACGACTGACTTTAAAAATCGCAAGACGTTAAGAAATATACATTTTTTAAGCTTTTTCAACTCTGTTAAATAACTAACTAAAATAGCGTATCGAAAGTAAACCTTGGCCGTCTACAGTAAGTACATTTACTGAACAAAAATTTTGTATTCTTCATTTTTTTTTAAATAATCGACGTTTAAATGTTTTAAACAGTGAATCCTATAACCTTAACGCGTACTAAAATGACTTCTGAAAAATTTAATTTCTTTGTGGTTACGTCGGATGCTTTGAAATGTTAACATAATTTACTAACAGTGGGTTTCTGAGTCCGATATCTCCGATTAAAACATATTATCACTCTATTTTCAAAAATAATGATAGGGATGGCAATTCGTTTTACACAGAGGTTTAGATCTAAGAAACCCAAGATAAATAATGTCGTAAATATGGTAAGGTTGTGAAACTGACTTTATATGACTAAAGAAAACTGCAATTTAGAGAAAAACCTTAAATAATAACCTCAAAATTATATCAGTAATTGAAGTATGTAAATAGTTTTCGAATGCTTACTGTGTTTTTTAATAAATGTTTGTGTTTAAATAAATATTAGTGTAATATAAACTGAATATAAAATTGCTAACACTCAGAAATATATTATTGGTATTGACAAGTTTGAAGTCCTTCACTAATATATGGGCTACGACCGCGAAATAATACCAGTCCCGTTCATCGGGGTTTTTTAAGGGTGATTGATTATAGCTGGGAAACCCATTGGACATATAGTATCGGCACAAATTGCAACACCCTGTGAACTGGGAGTTAATTTGAGTAAATTATTAACCGTTGGTTTCTGAGACAAAAATCTCTGTATAAAACATATCCTTGACATTATCATTGTGAAAACAGACATATATGTTTTAAACGAGGATTTTGGTCTTAGAAACTTACTATAAATTACTGTTTTTATAAATGTAGTTTTGTGATTAGAATTATAACCATGACATTTAGCAGTATTACCGTAATTTATAAGAATATTACCATGAGTTTCCACTGCCAAAATACATGTAGAAAAACAATATTACCTATCTCATTTTCTTCAAAGAAAAGGAATGAGAAGGATAGACATAAGTTTTGGCAGTGAAAGCCTATGTTTAAATATTTGTAATTGTGAAATATTTGATGTTAGTACAAAAAATAGCTCAAATCTTTTTGTTTAAATGTGTGTATTTATTATAATGTTAATTAATAAGTATTGTAAATAATATGTTCTTTTTTTGGATAATTAAGTCCACAGCGTAATTGTATTATCATCATCAGCTCACTATACGTCCCCACTGATGGGCACAGAGCCTATCCTAAGTTAAGAGTGACTAGGTCATAATCAACCACGCTGACCAAGTGCGGATTGACTTCACACATCTTTGAATTTCTTCTCAGATATGTGCAACATCACAATGTTTTCCTTCATCGTAAGAACGTCGGATAAATGTACATATACGTTAATCAAAAATCGATAATATGTTGGTATATGGCGGGATTCGAACCCAAGACGTGCAAGAAGTCAAGTGCTTTAACCCCTAAGCCACCGACACTCCTTCTATAACAATAGTTATTATGCAAGATGTAATCAAACAAAAAAAGCAAATTAAATCAAATTGAATTTGAAATTCATAATAATACATCAAAGTATTATGTAAATAAAATTAATCTTAATTTGCTACTCAGGAAATATTTAAATATTGAAGGAAAAACTTAAACAATAGCAAACATATCAATTGATGTCAGAGACAATAAAAGAAATTCTATTTGACAATATTTTTAATTAATTTGCCGATGTACGATTATATGAAAATCATATAAAAAATACATATATAAGATCTCATTGTAAATAAATTAATAATAATACAACAATGCTCTTATCATTTTATCAAAGATTATAAATTAATTAAATCATCATCATCAGCTCACTATACGTCCCCACCGAAGGACTCGGAGCCTACCCTAAGTTAAGGGTGATTAGGCCATAGTCAACCACGCTGACCAAGTGCGGGTTGACTTCACACATATCTTTGAATTTCTTCTCAGATATGTGCAGGTATCACGATGTTTTTCTTCACCGTAAGAACGTCGGATAAATATACTATGTAAATCGGAAATGGAAAAACATGGTACATGACGGGATTCGAACCCAAGACCTGCAGATTGCAAGTCAAGTCAACCACTGAGCCACCGACATTAATTAATGAAATACTACGAACTAAATAATAAAGCTGAATAATTCAATTTATTACATGACACAAATATTTTCGTCGTTATTCTGAGATTATTAGAAATTCCATTAATTTCTCTTATAAATTAAATATACTCAGACACGGTTTTCTAAGAATATACATAAAACAAATAGCCCTTGGGGTTTTAAAAACTGCAAAAATGTATAGAACTAACAATCACGTGACAACTTTCGATATGTCACGTGATTGTCGCGCGTTCGCTTCGAAGCAAATACATTTTACCTAATCCCGCTTGACTGTAAATTAAAACCTGAATCCAAAACCTAACATATTCATTCACAAACAATTGCAAAAGTCTTCTAATAATATTAAAAAAATATCTATAAACCTGTGTAAACTATGAAAATAAAGTGTCTCTACTTAGGTTAATGCATCTCGACATTGGTGTGACACCAATGTCGAGATGCATGGACGCAGTGTTTTGCGGTATGGTATATCTGTGGTGCGTTCCCTGATTTGTTAAAATATTATTTAAACTTTAAAAGCTCTCTTTTATTTAAAGAAGTACCAAAAATTATTATTAATATCATTGTATATAAAATCCTATAATATTTAATACACATATCGTGTTTATTTAAGAATAATGGTTTGTGCCAATTTGTAAATGGTTTTGTAATATGTATATAAGTGTAATTGGTGTATATTATTTAATTTGAAAACAATGTACATATATGTAAAATTCAGTTATATCAGATATATAGATGTCGTGCGAAATTGATCCTTGAATTTAACTTAAGTTTGATTTAAGTTAATCCAAGATCTAAATTCGTGTTCGAAACGCAAATAGTTTAGTGTATGTGGGGAAATTAAATACGTTTTCAAAGGAAATAGAATAGTTGATATAGGCTTTCAATAAAAGCTTTATGTATGTACAATTTTTTTTATTTCTTATCCCCGTATCTCCATAGTTAATACAGGAAATGAGATTAAATTATTTACGAACAAAATTAATAAAATCACTAGAGCGCCTATAGAAATAAGAAAGAAAAAGTTTTTAGCATAATTGCTATTAAATATCATCAGTACACACGATGATATAAAAAAGATTTTCATTTTATAAAAACGACTCTGTAGCCTTTCATTTCTGATGAAATATCTGGCTTCACTATTATCTGACAGTTTTTAATTTTAAACAAAAAACGTAAGCCCTACACATAACCTAGATCCGAATGAAAAAAGTACAAGTAAATTTACATTTCCATGTTCCAGTCAGTTCTATGTAAAACTGGATGCAATTTAATCTATGCAGCAGCTCTATAAGGTATTAAGTCAAGAGTTAACGAAGCTTAAAGCTCTAACTAAAATTAGTTTTATTAATTAACATATATTTTTATAATGAAATAATCTGTTGCCTTAACAGCCTATGTGTTCTTTCAGGCTATGTTCTACGTCTAGGTCAAATTTCAGCGAGATCCATACAACCGTTCTGGAGATACCTTCGAACAAACATCCACCCATCCATCCAAATTTTCGCATTTATAAAATTAATTAATTAACAAAAGACTATTATTTAACAAATTTCTAAACAGAGTTTTATCGTCGTATTGGCATCTCTTACAATCGCCTTGAAAAAATAGAGACACCATTATGTGTCATGACAAGAAAAGTATAACGGGAACGAAAACCACAAAGAAACTCTATCACAAACGGATTCATTAATTTCTCACTAAGTGTACACCTCAGTGTAATTTTAGTATAAAAATCTAGACTTATTTGCTTATATCTTTAAGCATCTCAGAGACAGTGCGTCTGAAAAAAGTTTAAAAACAAAATGTTGTACTTAACTTAATATTTTTCAGTAACTCCAGACGTTTATCTGAACGTTCGATCATGCGTCTTCTTAAAAAATATTCCCGATAAAATCCTAGCTCTGAGTGTGATGGCACCATTAAGATCGCATTTCATGACTTCGAGACGCCTTAAGCAACGTAATTGAATCTGAGAGGGCTGGTATTAGAGTGAATTTTGTCTCTTCAAAATGTATTAACACTGATATACTGTTTATATTATTTTCTTAGGACATTAACGTAAGTGAAAATTTCCCTTTCCATTTTATTTTATTTCTTTAATATAATTATTTTCAGTCAGTTATTTTAAAAGAAAAAAAAGTTAATGCATCTCTTAGAATTAGTCGAATTAAAATACTTAAAATCTTATTTAAATAATATGAATACTAGCCGTCGTGCACACCTTCGTCGACGCGGAATTAAATTTATAGCCTTTATGTACACCCAGACTATGTTCTACATCTCTGACGAACAGTCAGATCCATGCATTCTGGACCAACCTACAAACAAACATCCATCTATACATTGATATCTATATAAGTAAGAACTAAGACTGAGATATCTTAATAAATCAGTTTTAGAAGTAAGCCTTTTAAAATTTTATTTGGCTTGTAAATTTTATGAGAAATATGTCGAGATTTACGAGTAAACGCGAGAGATTTTGATAAAATTAAAATTTAACGGCCCTTTTGGGTTATAAATTATTTTACTGAAATACTTTACAAGGCACAATAAAATTTTGGTTATGAATAACAAGATATGTCAGACGCTATAAAGTCTGTCCCTTTTACCTTCTATCTTTCTACTAGCTGTCGACCATGACTCCGTCCGCGCGGAATTAAAAAATACTTAAAAAGCTTATGTGTTCTTCCAGACTATGTTCAATGCCAAATTTCAGTGTGATCCGTTCATCTGTTTCGGAGATACCTTCAAAGAAACATCCAT